GTAAGGCCCTGCGTTTGAGTCCCAAAACTGGGGGAAAAAAAGTTATGTGGCTCAAAGTTTCATAATTTTCCATTTTTAGCAAATTCTGGAGTCACTCCAGGATCCCCTTAATGTGTAGTCAAACCCATCTGAAGGGGTCACGGGTGGAAATGGTGAAAGGTGGGGACTTCAGAAACTAAGAGAAGAGCACAGAATAAGTATTGCACTCCTTTTCAGACCCTTTATCCCTTAGGCTCTGTTAGCACAGTGCCTATGGTCTCTGAATTTCTGAAAGGCCTAAGAAAATATCTGAGGCTTCAGGATTTTTCAATGCTCAATTCCGTATTTAGGCACCCCTTTCATACTCCTTGGTGGAACTTCTGTACGTGAGCTTCAGCACATTATGCATTGTTCCAAATTATCAAGTCACCAGCAAAAATTGAGAAAAAAGTATGAGTGAGAGATTAAACAAGAGTAGGGGCAAATGATTACTCAATAAAGTTTTAAATCTAGGAAAAGTTATTAAAATGTTTGAATTCCCTGAAAGGGGCCAGCCTGGACTTTTGTAGCATGCATTTTTGTACAATGGAAAGAAGACTGATCCGGGGGTCGGTTTGTCGTGAACTCACTGCATGACTTCAGGCCAGTCACAACTTTTGCTCCTCTATTTCCTCCTTTGTAAAATTAAGGGGGTTGACTAAATGAGCACTGAAGTTTGGTCACTTCCATGATCACATAAATTAAGGAGATTCTTAAATAAAGGAAGTAAAGAAGGGAACTACATTAGTCTCTTTCTTCCCTACTGCTCCACCGGAGACCAGATACATGTAATAAAAAGCATCTCAGACTTAAAAACCATTCTCAAACTCCAAGTTATGCACCCTGTGATTAGATAGAATCCACTTTGCCATAATTGAGCAGGGTATTACTAGGAAAAATTATACCAAATTTCACTAAATGTGCGTTCATTTGAAATAAGAGCTTCTCTAGGTTAACCAGACCACAGGTTGTGACATACTGTACCGATTACATAATGTGAGCACTTTCAATATCCTTCCATTTTACGTGAACTGGCTTCCTAGCCATCAGTCTAGAGCCCACTATAATTTATTTTCTTTGTGGTAAGTGGCAAACATGTCTAAATTAGTTAAATTACTTTAATATGTTGTTGCTTTTAAGGATCTAAAATTTGTGATCATTCCTTCTAAGGAAACATCAACCCACAACATGTGGATTAAATCTCCATTTTAATGTCTGTGTTTCATTTTTGGTTCTTCCAAATGACTTCATTTTTGTTGTTAATGTTAAGTAGCTTAAAATTTGAATTTTACTAAATGATATTTTGCTTCTCTTTGGACCAAATACTTTATTCATTTTATGCCCCAAACTAGGCAACTCAACTGTGATCAATTACAAACCCCTGGGAGGTGAGCTCTTCGTTCTGCCTATGCAAGCTAAGTGTCAACGCTCTTGCCTAACCATGTCTCAGGCAATAATAACCTGACCGCCTTTCCTTTTTCCTTCTCAGTCAAAGCCAGAACAAATCATGCCACTGATCCACATGCATGTAATTTGAAAATGTGCAAACACATTATTAGCAACGTGTTTAAACAGCTTCTTTCCCTTTGGTGTTCATAATCCTTTAAAGTTATGATATAATTACTCCTTCTGGCACCACTTGAAAATATATGCAACACAGCAAGAATTACATTTGTCAGGAAACATGACAGTTATGAATAAACAAAAATTATTTCTCATTCTCACACAGCATTTTAATTTATTTTTAGGATTTATGTATCCTTTACCTCTTTCAAAAATAATATGAAGCACGGGGCCGGGGATCTAGCTCAGTGATTTTGCCGCCTGCCTCGCAAGTGGAAGGACCCAAGTTCGATCCCCGGTACCAAAAAAAAAAAAAAAAAGGAAAAATAATATGAAGCAACCTACAAACTAACCTATATGGCATAACTTTAATAAAATAGGAATAAAGCCAGGATGAAAGAAAGGAAACAGGACAAGAAGTCTTAAAGGAAAATGTAACAGATTTGGTTACCCAGAAATATAGAAATTCTAAGTTCAAAGGTCAAGCAACAGACCAACAGATGGTTAATAACCATAACAGTATAAAATTGTCCCAAAATTCATGAAAGACCACTCACAGGTGCATTTTATACAAAGAAGATAATGATTAGGCCAGAATAAGAAGTAGAAATATAAAAATCTTGGAAAAATATAAGATTCTACAGGAGGAGTTTCAAATTAAAACAAATAAAAGAATTATATAATTGAACATTTGATTGTTTAAACTTTTTTCTAGTACAAATAATTCTGTAATGAACATTCTAGTACATATAGTTCTTAGCAAATACACAAATATTTTTGTTAGATTTCTAGAAGCAAATTGAGGTAAATTTTATATGAATTTTAAAAATTGACCAAGTACTGCCAATTAGCTCTCCTAAAATATTGTACCTCATTACACTTACATCTGCGGAATATGAGCATGTCCACTCTCATGGTTTGAATATAGTTTGTCCCCTCTGAAAACTCTTGTTGAAATTGAATCTCTGTTGTGAGACTTAACCCAACGATAACATTTAGAGCTGGGACCTTGAGAAGTGTCTAGTGGTAGACTAGGTCATCAGGGTGGAACCCTCATGACTGAATCTTAGTGGCTTTCTAAGAAGGAGAGAGACCAGACACACAAACACATACTGTGTGTACACTCCCTGTCTCTTACGCACACCTCAGGACTCTGCCAGCAAGATCATACCACATGCAGCCTCTTAACCTGAGACCAGCACTGTGAGCCAAAGAAATCTTTCCTCACATGTGGTTCTGTACTGTGTTATTAGAAACAGAAAACAAACTAAGATACTCATTTCCCCCTAAACATGTAATTAACATACAACCCAGCAATTGTATACTTGGGCATTTATCCCAGAAAAAACCAAAAACTTATGTTCACAGAAAAACTATATAGAAATGTTCATAGCATTTTTTTCGTAACAGACAAAAATTGAAAACAATCCCGTTGTTCTTGAATGATTGAGTGGTTTAACAAACTATGGTAATGCATATCACAGAATACCACTTAGCAATAAAGAAAAGTTGGTACAATTTGTATGAATCCCCATAGAGTTATGCTGAATGAAAAAGCCAATTCCACTGGGCATGGTAGTGCATACTTGCATTCCCAGCATTTGGGAAGCTGAGGCAGGACAAGTGTGAGTTTGAGGCCAGGCTATGCTACAAAGTGAGACTCTATCTCAAAAGAAAGAAAGAAAGAAAAGAAAAAGAGAAAAGGCCAAAAGAAAAGTTTACAAACTATATAATTCCTTTTATATCACATTTCTGAAATAACCAAAATACACAAATGGAGGACAGATGAGTGGTATCAAGGATAAGGAAAGAAGGAAGCAGGTGTGGCTATAGAAAGGCAACAGGAAGGATCCTCATGGTGATGGAACTGCTTTTTATCTTGACAGTGGTGGATGATATGTGAACCTCCACATGTGAGAAAAGTTCCATGGAACCAAACACACAGATACACACACCCAAATGAGTACAAGTAAAACTGGAGTCTGCAGAAGATTAATGGATTGTTATCAATGTCAATATCTTAGTTATGATATTGTGCTATAATTTTGCAAGATAGAACCATTGAGGAAACCTGGAAGAAAGGTACATGGGATCTCTCTTTATTGGTTCTTGCAACTATATGTGATATGTACCACCATCGCACAATAAAAAGTTTATAATTTTAAAAATTACAAGGCAGGGGCTGGGGATTTAGCTCAGCAGTTTTGCCACCTGCTGTGCAAGCACAAGGACCCAAACTTGATCCCCAGTACCAAAAAAAAAAAAAAAATTACAAGGCAGACCCAAAATTACAAGGCAGACCCAAAAGATGTAACATAGAGCCTACCATATACTGTCAAGGAAAACATGTCACAAAGCAATAAGAATGGAATATTCTATTTGTGATTAACAATAGATGTGCACATGTGGATAAAGAGAAAATGCTGGTTGACTTAAGACAGAGGGAAAAGGAAACTTGAATTTCAGCTTATATTCTTATATTCTCCTATATTGTTTTACTTTGGTGATTTATGTATTTTATTTTATTTTAAGGAGAGATTCAATATGTCAACAATGAAGGATAACACACTGCTCTAGAGTTTGGGATAATGAGCAGTGTCTCAAGGAAGCTAAGGCTAAAGAAAAACAGAAGGAGTCCCAGAGAGAAAGGTGTAGAAGTGAGATGGATCTCCAATGGCACAGGCATGAGAAGAGTTTCCTGGGAAGAGTTTTAAGGAAGAAATTAAGAGGGTGGAAAGAGGGAAGCTGGAGAACTATGTTTTGAGGTTGACCAGTGATAGGAATAACATACTGTTTTAGTGTTCTATTTAGAGTGTGGGCAGGGGGTTCCATTGGGGTCCTTGTACCATAAGAGTCCTCAGGGAACCAGCATAGGGATTCTGCAAGTTACTAGGCATGTTTCCTCACACTGTACAACTACACATTGAGACAGGCAACCACATGGATCTGAGGTCTCACAAACCCCCCCGGTTAGATGCATTCAACTCTCTCAATCTCTACAGCTCCTACTCTGAAAGTGGATCCAGATGGCATTTTTGGTCTGTAGGGATCATTATAATAATCTCAGTATCTAACAATCCTCAAAAAAGCTGACTATTTCCCATTCCCCAGCACCCAGTCATTCTGATAAATGGTCACTTTTCCCTCCAGCCTTGGGGAAAGTTAGAGGTCCTCTTCTCAAAGAGTTCTGGATCTGGCAACTGGATAAGAGGCTATGTATTCTCATTATGAAGATGCAAGTTTGATATATGATGGCATAGCTAAAATTTTTCTCCCTGTATATAAAAAGAAGTAACTTAGCAAGCTGTCCCATTCAGTTCATTTCCAGGAATCGAGTGTTCAGTCACTGCCACAGATCCATGCAGTAAAACACTGATTCTCTCACCACTTCCATGTCTTATTAAGAAAAATGCATTTACCTGGTCTCTACTACTCCTCTTAAAACTAGGGAAACCAGTTCCTCTGCAGCAGCATCACTGCCATCTCCCACCTTCAGAGGAGTCATTTCAGAGTTCTTCAAGGATCCCAGTTCGCCTCTCATCAATGCATTTTTCCTGCCTTGGTGAAATGCTCCAGTCCTGCAGGGCAGATGGTTAGGTGATGTTAAACAGGCTACGAGTCATAGCTTCATGCCAGCATTTCCGTTCCTCTGAGCCTCCAAGCTCCTTCCTCTCTTATAGCCTTCCTACCCAAAGTGGGAGTTCACAGACTAGCAGTATCTTGGTGTCACCTGGGAGCACATTAGAATCTCACTCCAATGAGAACCGCCAAATCAGACTCTGCATCTTAACAAGATCCCCAGGTGATTTTAAACACATTAATGTTTGCTTCACAGCTGTGGTTTCAAAATTTTAATGTACATTATATTTATTTTAAAAGCACAGAGTCCTGGGCCTCACCACTAGGGTTTGGAGTTAGTAAAGGGGTGAGGCTTGAGAATTTACATTTCTAACACGTTCCAAGGTGACACTGATGCTGATAATCCAGAAGCCACACTGTTCCGTCATATGTCAGAGAAGTTACAGAATTTTAACCCAAGTACCACAGGCCATCACTGATTAACCATTCTAGCAGACTACAAACACAACTCCCTGGTGTTTGCGCTAATCCTGAGTCTTAGTTGATGTACCATGTCCATTAATTCAGCCTAATGTACCCTTTCGTAGCTTCTGTATTGCTCTTATTTTTACTCTTGTATTTCCCCCCTACATGCACTTCTCTGACTTCCACTTGTCAAGTTCTTGTCTTGTGGTGGATAGGCTATTTTATCCTGGAGCAGGTCTTATATATTTTCTTTTCTGGATTATATTGGAATCTAGTTCTTGTTATGAGGCTGGAGGCAAAGAAAAGAGAGGGAGGGGGTCTGAGGAGAACAGACATCAGCTCTTAAAGTAACTACTCCAGGTATAGTCACTGATGAAGCTATTTTGCAGAAAGAGGCCTTGGAGGAATTAGTTTCCAGCCTCCACTTTGTCCCACAGGTGCATTTCATCAAGGTCAAATCTTTCTTTGGCCCTGCAACTCTGCAACTCCGGCAGTGAGGCCAGGTCTTGGTTGTTAATTGTAAGAATTGTAGGTTGTTAAGACTCCCTCGAGGTTGCCATGGATACTGGACTCTACACAGGTGTTCTTCAGTATGTATTCATAGGTCTTAATATAGCGTTTGTTTGTTTTTGTTTTTTGAGACATGGTCTCACTATGTAGTTCAAGCTGGCTTTAAACTATGTAGCCCATATTAACCTTGAACTTGCAGTGATTTCCCTGCCTCATCCTCCTGAGTTCTGGGATTACAGGCATATGCCACCATGCCAAGCATGTTTTTAATATATCTTTTTGCCTATTTATGCTCTTTAGAGCTTGAAGAAGCCAGGTGACTCCACAAGAGATTGGGGGGGAATAGGATAGGGGAAGGGGAAGTAAAAAGAATTAAGATGTATTATGTATATGTACCAACCCCTCATGATAAATGTAATCATTATGTACTGCAAATATGTAGTAATGAAAATTTAAAAAATAATAATAAAATAAAATCACTGCCCTTGACAGAGCCACTAGGTATCACAGCCACTTAATCTGCCAGTGACTTATCTTCTGCTTATTCCGGATCCCATGCTATGACCACTGATAATGTGAGTTAGTGTGATACTACTGCATGCAGATTGACAGTGTTCATTTCCATCCTTCAAACCTCTGTATTCCTCGCAAGGTTGTCCTTAAACTCTGAAAACACCATCAACCCAAAAACAATTGATTGCCTGACTAGGGTACCAGCAAGGAACAGCTAATACACCCAACTAGGATAATTTAAAGAGGGAATTATTTACATGGTGTAGATGAGGTATGGGGACATCACAAGAGATAGAGGGAAAATAGCCAGGAGCTAGTAACATCTGTGCACTACTACCCTAGACTTCAAGAGTGGGGTTATGAGGAGAAGGCCATATAAAGAGAAGCAGTGGCCAGCAGTTTAGTAACCGGGCCTACAGCAACCTCGCAGAGAGGGAGCTAAGGGAATAAATTCTCCAATTTCCAACCCTGCCAAGGATCTCTAGTGGCAACACACAAGTGGAAGCCAAAGGCAAGGGCACTGGTGAATACGATAAGTGAGTGAACCTCCTGGGTAGAGAGTAGACCTGGAGGTGGGAAATGCAAAATCTTTAGCACCATAAGAAAGTTCTAAACAACTGTACAGTGTGCTTGTAAAGCAGGTACTTGGATGGCTCCAGAGGTTAGAGAAAAGACTGGGCTGTTGTATAAATTTGAGTGCTCTTAGTATAGAAATGAGGCCATGAAAGTGGGTGAGATGACTTAAGCAGACAGAATGAGAAAAGTTTGAGTCTGAGAAGTTCCACTTAAAGATCAGGTAGAAGAAGAAAAGATGACAAAGGGAGAGAGAAAAGGGGGAGGAGGGAGAAAATACAGGAAGAGATTGTCAACTTTGTTGAAGTCTGCCAAGATGTCACAGGATATGAAGGCCAAAGTATGCCCATGAGATTTAGCACCATGGAGGTCACTTCATGTTTGAGAGAAATGGTTTTAGTAAAAGAAGCAGGGGAAGAAGCCAGCTGAAGGAGGCTGAAGAGTAAACAGGTGTTGAATAAGGGCAAAAACAATGACCATGCCCAACTCTTCCAATCAGTTTGAGGATGAACAGGAGAAGAAAAGAGAATGGGAAAGAAAATGTGGGGTCCAGGAATGGAATATTTTAGAATGGGAGAGAGGAGCCAGGGATGTAGCTCAGTGGTTCCGCCACCTGCCTCGCAAGCGCAAGGTCCTGAGTTCAATCCCCGGCACCTCCTCCCCCTCAAAAAATGGGAGAGAGTAGAGAATGCTTAGATGCTGATGAAAAGAACCCATGAGAGATAAATAGTCAAACATAAAAAGAGGATAAATGGTAACGTACATTTTCTGAGAAGGCTGGAAACCAAAGGATAGGGAACAGGTTGACTTTGTAAAAATACAGATAGCATTTCCATCTCTTCTGGAGGGAAAAGGAAAGGAAGGGCTACAGCTATAGGGTGGCTCATAGGTGCAGGTGGAAGGAAGTAAGGTAATTCCCACCTGAAGGCTTCTATTTCCTCTGTGAAGTAAAAGAAAAGACATCTACTGAGAGCAAGAGATGAGATCAGGCCTCAAAAAGTTGAGAAATGGAGAAAATTTGAAATGGTCATTTGAGAGACTGAAGGATGAAGGACAGGAGGATTCCCTGGGGTGGACATGGTTTAAGGCTCAGAGGTGGTGATGACCAGGGAAGACTGCAAGGCTGGGGGACTTCCCTACAAGGAAGCTTTCCTGCCTAGAAAGAGACTTAAAGAAAAGACAGGGGCCGGGGATTTAGCTCAGTGGTTCCACTGCTTGCCTCGAAAGCGCAAGGTCCTGAGTTCGATCCCCAGTACCAAAAAAAGAGAAAAGAACAAGAAAGGATAAAATAGGCTAATAAATAGGGCATTGGCAAGATAATGACTGACACAATGGCTTCAAAGGGAAACAAAGATAGAGCAGGTTAATGGATAAGGAAAAGTGGAATGGCCAGAACACTGAAGGCCTCTGTCTGGTGAGGAACAGAACAGGTAGGCAAGCAGGCTGCAGTGACAGGGAGTTGTGGTCAGAGTGGGAGATCTGAGAGATGACAATGTCTGAGGTCTGACTGAGAAGTGGGTGCCAAGGTGATGAAGAGTCAGAGTGTTGACTAGCTCACCCATGGATGCAGTGCTTTCCCCCAGGAAGGCACCGAGTTTGAGAGAGAGGTACAGTGCAAGTGAAGAGGTAGAGCTCTTAGCGATGAAAGGGAGTGCCCAGGAGGCCAATACAGAAAAACAATAGCTGAACTTCAGAGGAACAGTCAGTTACAGAAGCATTTGGAGGCTGCATCAGGGACTGAGGAGGTGGCCATTCCTACTCCCTGGCTGTGAGTAGGCGGGATGTAGAGGAACACTTAAGCGCTGCAAGAGAAGCAGAGTTCTCTGAGTAAGGAGAAGTTTCAACTCAGGCAAGGCAATGGAGGCTCTCCAAGGAAGGAAGAGAAGCACCAGAGAAGAGTGTCAGAGTCGAAATACCAAGTCCCCCTGATGTGAGCAGAGGCAGCAGAACTGACCAGGGACAAAGAGGAGAGGTGTCAACGGGAACATGTTTGGGTCACAGCCTATGAAAGGAATTGCTATTAGAATGATTTCAAAAATTGATGTCTGTGTCCAGAAAGCATAATTCCTGCTTTCCAAAGGCCTCTGTGTACTCCACCTCCCATTTCCAGTGGTGACTCTGTGCTGGTCTGGCTCTAGAGAACAATGCCTAACAAGCAGGATTTTCTCCATGGTCAGGACTGTCCTTGGGCTCATTTCATTCCAGTTGCAGTTTGCTGAGTTTGGCATCATATTTACTTTTGTCTCTATATTTCCTAGTTTACCAAACATCATGGTTTTAAAAGAATACTCCCCTCACCCCTACCCTGCCCCACCAGTACCACTAAGGACTCTTTCGGGCCAGCAATCCCTGGATGGTTTCCTTTGTCTGCTTCTCACCACATCCTTTGACCTTGGACTTAAATGCTGTCCTTCAGTGATTTTCTCTGTATTGTTCTACCCCCTCTTTGCTGTGATAGTCACTGGACAGAGTCCACAGAGGCCTCCAAAACAGAAATAGGGAACTTTGACTCACTCTACCCATGGGGCAGGTTGTAGGTTCACTGACTTCCATCACAGAAAAATAGTTTTCAGGATGTGTCCATAGAGGCATAATGGGATTTACTGTAGAATTTTTAAAGTACACACTCAAAGAAATAGAGTGGCAGGGAGAGACACACTTATGGCCTTGAGCTGGGTACATTTATGGGGGACTTGAAATCTGTAGAACTTATGAATCTATGAAAAGAGAGGATTCAATTTACAGATGAAAAAAGACACCTCTTTCTGCAGGGGAAAGGAGGTGACAGCCATCCCAGGTGATATGGAAAGGCCCATTGCCAAGTAAAAAGGCTTATTGTGTCTTAGGAAGAAAAAAATGTTTAAACTGGGTTTGTGTCCTGAACCTGCAGTTTTTATTTTTATAATTATGGTTTTCCTTGTGCCTTTTTACCTAGCTC